ATGTAAAAGAGGTTCCGTAACTTTTCCTCGAACGACAAAAATATGATCTCCACCTGCAGAAGTTTGTAAGCTCGAGAGATCTTGTGCGGGAGCCCCCTCTTTCAACAGAATCAGTCTGTACAGGTATCAGATACGTTCGAAGAGGATCACCCTTTCATAAAATTCATCCGATTCGAAGACGAGACGTCCCCGAGAATATATACACCACAAAAATGGATTGCGAGTCTTAGACGTCGAGGCCTGTCACGGCTATGGCCGTCTTTGACACTCTCACACGTGAACAAGAACTCTCTGCTCGCAGGGCGTTGTGCATGTGTGATCTATTCCTTGCGGACTCGCCGAGCTCTGAATTGATGGGCCCGGCCAATCACCAACCCAGCCATCGACACTTTCATCTCGGCCCATGGGTGACTGCTTTTCGACGTAGAGCAACGGAGCACTTGAAATGTCGGCATCGAGACTTGTGCGAAGGGCCCTCCTCCAACTGATTCTCCGCCTGATTACCCTCTTGTATCTACAACTGCTTATAGTACACGTAGAGATGTGTAGGACGAGCTGAATGTAGCATTGATTTCTGTGGGCGCAGATTGAGGAGGTAGCCCGTTCTGTGTGAACAGCCTTTAAAAGTAGGTCACATCGCCAAATAAGCCACTTCACGTACATCCACAACAATTATCCCACACTTGCAAGTCAGCTCTTCATGCCCCATCAATGCAGCTCCAGTGACAGACCAAATCCATTGAAAAGCTACGGAGTAAACTTCAGTGGAACTCCAGTGATAGAACATGTCCGATTTCCAAATCGCACATGCAACTCACATCAAGGCAGGAAATCGAAGTCTACAAATTGAGGCTTGCTCACGTGTGGGGGTATTTTTCTCTGACACGGAAGAACACCCATAGAGGTAGAAATCCAGAAGCAAGTATGCAGAGGCAGTGAGCGAGCTCAACATCAAACTTACGAGGATCCGTGGGAATTGGTTGCCTCCAGCAGTGCCCATGTGATGCTGTTGTTTTGAACTAGCACGGTGAAGACGCGCTTGCCGGTGACGAGGCTTCTGAGGGCACGGGGTCATCCAGGAGGGCTGGCCGCCCTTGGAATCAACTTGCGCCTCGTAGAAGTGGATGCCATCTTTCTCGAAGCGCAAATTGAAGAGCTCAGCTGTAGCGTTCATCAGGATCCAAGCCGTGCCATTCGCGGTGTAATTCTGATCACCGACTTCGAACAGCTGAGGGATGGGCACATTGCCCTCCGGAGGAATGAACCCCTGGCCCAAAACACTGGGACCGAATACGGATTGCGCATCCTCTGCTGTGAAGGAAGTGGTGCAGGTTCCATTGGCACATGAGATCACCAGAGCCGCCAGCAAGCTGAGGAGTGAAACCTGCGCGGTCCAGGTTGCCAAATCTGCGAGTACGTTCGTAAACGATGTCGGCAAGTTGTTTCCTGAAAATCGTTGATGGCAAATCTGTAAACTTTCACGCCAATTTTCCGACCGATTTTAAGATTGTGCTCGAATGGCGCAAAAGAGAGAGTGACTATTTTCTTCCGGTTTTTATTGGGAAGTTTGAAGGGCAAAACTGCGACTTTGCGAAGGCACTGCAGCACCCAGAGAGGATCCAACTACTAACACGCTTGGAGCTAGTTTTACTTTTTCTTCAAAATGGAGCCCTGATGCAGTGCCCAGAGGATGAAGGCAGATAGTAGAATAGACTTGGAGAATTTTTCATTACAATTCCCAGGCCAAGCCTCTGAATTGTGATCTCCCTTTAGAATAGATGAACCTGGCATCGCACATGGGGACGATTGTGTCGTCGTACTGAGCTGCTCACTGTAAGCTTAAACTGGACAAAAAGTTCCCCGGAACTTACACGAGAAATCGACGCATCACAGCACTATGCAAAGATAAATAGAAGTCAATCATGTGCAACTCTTCTGATCCGTAGCTAGCGGATAGCGCAGAGGGTTCTTAATTGGTTTAATTCTTAGAGTTTCTTTGTCTCTATTTGAAGTTTATGAATTGGCGAATACTCGGTTAAGATAATATGAATACCGCTTTGAAACATGGTCATCGATTCTACAGCCAAAAGACTGGGCAACTACATGCGTAAATTCCATCGTGATCCGTGCCATGTATTCTGGTCGCTGCAACATCATGCCTCCTGATTCTCTTGAAGGAATTATAATCCATCTTTGTATCATGTGATTATAAGACACTTCTCAGACATTCCGATGACATTCTGTAGAGATTAATTCTGCTTACGTAAGTTAGTATCCAATGTTAAAACTAAGGATATCACTTGTTCTGAACACTTCCCATCGGAGAAGTGAGTGAAGCCTGTTCATGGAATCATGCACTAGCTTGTTTCCCCCAAGCTCTTTCTCCTGGACATATTCGCCATATCTCTTTCTCTTTGAATCGGTCTTTATAAAAAAAGAGTAAATCTCTCATTCAATTCTCTGAATCGTGTAAGATGTTAGTTTTATAAATTTAGTGGATATTGGATCTACCTCTGTCCGATTCTGTCCTATAGACTTAATATATATTTAGTGTATGGGACAAGAATAGGCCAGAGGTAGATCCAATTTCACACCAAGGTCGCCTTAAGTTTCTCTGGATCTTGTGGAGGCCTGGAGATTTGGTCTAGGCAGTAACATATTAAAGATCTTATGCTTGGGACCTCGGCTTGTTTCTGCAGAGCGTGGAGGGAGATGGAACAATCCTTTCAGATAAACAAACGAAGAGTGAAACATCGCCTGGAGAAGAAATGAAAAGGTGGCTAAGGACAAGGAAAACTGGGACGAGGCGTTGTTCATGTTATGCGCGCTACATTAACACGACTGAGACCAAGGAAGATGTGAAGGTTATAGAAGTCTTATTTTTCTTTGTAACTGTGTGTGTGAGACAAGTACTTGCTTTCAGATCTTTGGAAGAAAATAGATTTTACGTTAAGGCATTCCTAGACTCAAGCAGTGTAAATAAAACAATTTGGGCATTACATTTTTGCCCTTTGTCACTTGCATCTTTAGACAAAACGTGTAAGTTCCGTAGGCAAAAAGGATCAAATTTGGTGTTGCGAAAGAATCCGAAGTTCTTTTCTTTTTTTTAAGATGAGCTAGTACGTACTTCGACAACATTTATAGGTTGGATAACATCCAATTTATTAACGTTTGAGACTATATTCTTTTCTTTTGTGTGTCGAGTGAGACTTTGGGTTAGTTCTTTAGTAACTTATTCTAGTTACGTTGAAGTGACTTTGTAAAGGCTCTCTATTCGAGCTACTTTTGGATAGGCCGGTCCAGAAATTTGACAAATTGTGAGTAGATTGTGACACAAAGCTTTTTCTTACATAGTCTCGTTCTACAATTTTACGTTTCTTAAAGAGCAAAAGTTGTTAATGTTTGTTGAGCTTTGTCTCGGTCTAGATTGTCTTCTTTTGTTTTCTCTGTTTTTTGCCCCAGCGCCAACCAAACAACAAACGACAGAAACAAGATATGAGACTCTAAGAGCTACAAAGCTTGATCTAATAATGAAGGCAATGAAAGTAAGGAAGAGAAAAGTCGATCGAACAACGCTCTGCTCTTGTTGGTTCGTTCCAGGGATCTCTCTCATCTCCTTCTCAGCCTCAACAATTTTACTTGAAGGTCTGAAAATTGCCGTCTTGCCGTACCTCAAATTTAATTGATAAGACTCATAGCTCTCGTTCGCATGCATGAGAGAATCTGCATTGAGATGCGCATGCTTCTCAATTTTCTCAATGCTAGTAATTTGTCTCACGATCAAATATCGTCCCTCGACCTCGTTGACGCCCCACTAGGCACTCGCCAAAAATTAAGTGTCTGGTTTAGTTTTGTCTACTGTCAGAAAACCTCTTCTAAATACTTCCTCTCTGTTTTTCGTTCGTATTACTCGTCTAGGTTCTTACCAGTAAATTATAATCTAGAACTTGATTTATTTTGTAAATACAAGTCTCGTAAAGAAAGTTAACATATAATACAAGTGGTTCTACTCAATGCGTCTGGAATAGAAGGTTCTTTTACTGTGTCAAATACTGTCAATGAAAATTCAATAACAGGATCATCAATATAACGATATTAATGGTACATGCTATAAACGTATTTCAGTTTACTAGCAAACTTGCAAAAGAGTAATAGAAATATCATTTATTCTTTAAAAGAAGGTGCAGGATTCTGATCAGTTTGACATGTGTACACGTGATACATGCAACTTCAGCTTTAAGGACTCGCAAGTTGATGAAGCAGTATGTATGAATTTACAGCTCACAACACTAACGGTGACATACACAGAACCGGAATATATATTGCCTGATGAATTTTTTAGTGTCAGAGTTTAACCAAGTACAGTCTTCATGCCGCTCAAAAAAGTTCGTCCATTACTGCACATTACGAGCATACGAAACGGAAGAGCTCACGCAGAAATCCATGTACGAATTCGGTACTCTTGGCTACAGACTCTCGCGGAAGCTCAAGCACTGTACGTAGTCTAGTCACTTGTCATCCTTCAGTTGAATAGTGGACGCTGGAGATTTCACGCTCCATGGCACATATTTCTTGCTCGTGCATAGAAAAAATTTGCAACTTAGTTGGAACACTCAGGTATGACACCAGGGGACTACCATAATATGTCGCGGAGTACAAAATCCTCAGATCTCCTTCATCTTTTACTTCACTTCAATTAATTGACGTCTCGTAAAGCAGAGACGACACGGTTCACGCTTGCGACACTCGAAGGAAGTGCCTCGCTATCTACCCTATTGCAGCTCGTACAGAGATTATACTGCTCTACCGAAATTCTATAAGACTCATCTAAAATTCTAGCTCGCTCCCACAGGACAGCGATCATGATGGCATATCAAAAGAAGCTCACATTGTTACTCTTCAGAACAAGCTCAAGGTAAGCCAAACCTTCTATGGGTTTTAACAATGCGAGCATTTTCTAGTGTACAAATGGCAGAGAAATTTCTGCCTACTACTTTAGATTATCGTCTAATTAAGCTTGGTCGAAACGCGTGACACTCCGGCATCTTGTATTCTGAACGGGCCTGTTGTTCGCTTCCTGCAACGAAGAAAGTGCCAGTCTCTTAGATACAGATTACTTACCACCACTCTTTCAACACACACACATGCACACAACTGCTATCCTCTGCAACTGATAACAACTGGATTAACTTGACACTGCATCTGTCGGGCAAGTCCAACTCCTAAAGTTCCATTTATAAACCAATTCAAGTCTTTGGTTGAGTCCTTACCGGGAAAACCTTTTGGTATGCGCCGAACTGCGGACAAGACATTTTCTGTGTCTGCATATGATACCAACATTCTTGTGAGTTTGACACACAAACTCCATATACAACAAGGCTACTTGTTACACTAGAACAGATACAGCTACGCAATATTATACGAAGGTAGCTTTGAGTTCACATGTCCATATACAGGGACTTGTATGAACAGCTTTCCAGTTTCTACGTTCTTACTAGATACGTAGTTGAGAACAATGCCAGCTGACACTAGACGATTCTGAGTAGGAAAGAATCCATGCACGGAAACGTCCACAAGAAAGAATGGCCCAGGACAGGAGAGTTATCATATAGTTCATGGCTTCAACGTATAGAGGGGTCTTAGATCGATTAAATTGTGAACAACCATTTCCAAGTAGACAGATTTTGAGAATCGATAAAGTACACACGATCATCATGATGTACAAACCTCGTTAAGCATGACGACCCAAGAGACACCCTCGGTGCAAGGTGGTGTGGTGAGAGATCCAGAATACTGAGCATACGACCCCTGAAGAGGCAATGATTCGAGTGTGATGGGTGCCATGGTGGTGACATTTGTATCAGGTTGTGTGATGTTCGGCAACCAAGAAAACACCTGCAACATCACCCAGAGATGTCAGACATAGAGTCTCAATATCCTCAAGATTGTAGGCAATTGCCATTTTTAGCTAGTGGTGCCCCTTGGCAGGTCCATCCACCCTTCAAGGTTCTTTGATAGCGTGCACATGCCAAGTGACTCATTGAACATTCCCTTCGAGATGAACATTTACCAGACGTTTAATAATAAATAGCACAGACATGTAATAGCTACCTGCTTAAGGAAAGGACTCTCAGCATCGTCTTCATGACTTTCGTTGAAGAATATGGCAATGACAGCGAACTTGCCATCTGCGCTTTTGTGAAACAGATGCACTTCGAGGTCAAAGCTGCCAAACGTATGAAGTTCTATCAGAATCAGCTGGAACCATTCTGGACTCACGTCGACCAAAAGAAATTGATTCTGGGATGATTGACAGAAATAAGACTTCGAGACGTGTAGCAACTGAAGTCTGTATACCTGACGCCATCGATGGTGTGCTCACTTGGCGAGTGGAAATGAAACTTCACCAACTCGTACTTGACACCGTTCAGAGTGAGATTGCCAAAAGAACCATCTCCTTCAACCTGTGTAGACAATGAGCTTTTATTATCAACATATGAACGAGGCGCTTGAAGCAGGAGGAAATGAAAACTAGAATTCTTCACTCTTGCACGAGAAAGCTTGATAGAAATGAAAGGAAAGCCTTCGCCTCAGACATAATTTTGAAAAATGTGGAGTGAATAGACTTCGTCATTCTCTTACATCCAGATGGTGAGCCGATTTGTCGTTGATGATCACGGCGTACGTACATTTTCCATATTCAGTATCCAAGCGATCTCCGAGAGACTTGTCCAGAACTGTGTCAGCCATGACAACATTTATCGGAGATTGCTTGGTCCCGTTGGCGCAGAATCCGCCCCATTCTGCTGGCCCTCGCAGCCCAGACCCATATTCAAACCCGTTTTCTGCACGAGTTCAATTTCATGAGCTCACCACTGACGTGTTGGCAGAGAGGGTTGGGAATAGTCGGATGAGATTGTACGAGAAACATCGTAAACTACTTAGATACTTCATAAAACAGAATGGACACACCGGATCAATTCACGTAGAAATCTCGGAGATTGTATAAATTTGTGAAAGCATTTCAGACCTACACAGCGATCTTATAAATAGGTTACAGTGCCCTGAATAATAAGCAAGACTCACATCAGGCCAGCAACCACAGGAGGACGACTAACCTGCAGCACTTGCTGTCGAAGAAAGAACCACAAGGGCACTCAGACACAACAAAGCACAGCGACGGATCGACATCTTCGGTCGTCTGTGAGCGTGGGCGATGCAATGAGTGTTTACACTTGCTTCCTTAGAATTCGAACAGAGAGCTCCGAGTTCAATTGGAAACGTGCTGTCACAAGAGAGCGGCTTGAAAGTCAGTGAGAATCTCTGACTTCGAGTCCACATATGCCTGCTCTTCATGCTATCTGCTGAGGAATTTATACTGGAAATCCGAGGCATGAGAACGTTACAAGGACTCCTTCGAAACGGGCCCCTTGTCCTACAGGGGTTGACCGACGTGATGGATCTGCATGTTTCACGTCCTTGACGAGAGACAGTTAAATTTTATCTTTGAGTTTACAGAGCGTCACATGCTTGTCGTAAATGATAGTTACGCGACGACATATCAGTCGCTGACACTTTCTATAGGCCGGAAACTCCAGAAGAGGACAAAGAATCTTGCATGTCGTCTAACTTTGGTAAAAAGATTCTTCTTCGACCGGATAACTAAGCACTTGTAACCAATCGATGGAGAACTGCAAGTAGAGGTGTTTCGTGCAATGCACTTGCAATATAGAAACTTTTTCGAGGCAGACCAGGTTCTCGGCGCGCAACCGTCTGCGTAGAATTGGATGCTGTCAATAGTAAAATTTTGTATACGTACCACCGTACCAGGAGGTACATCTGGATACCGTACACTAGTACGGAGGATTAAGTACGGATGTGACTGCAGTGAAGTACTACGGTCGGGTGTAATCCACCACTAGAAGAACAGCCTAAAACTGAAACTTGTCGCGTAATTAGCGATCCAGGTCAACGTTCTCAAATGTCAGTCCAAATCGACAATTAGTCCCAATCCTACTCGCATTTCATGTGAAGCTAGATCACCTGGAAAGTTTAACGAGGGGGATGAGATTATAGAGGTTCATAATCAGCCACAACTTATTGATTTGGAGATTTATTTAGACCTGGAGCTTTTGGTACGCTCTTGCATGCGTTGGACGCAACCGGCTCACGAGTACTTATAGATCAGGGTCTTCTCTTTCAGTGCACATTGACCAGATTTATCACAACTAAGTTCTGCCTTCCAATGAGAAGAAGCAAGCAATCCAAAGGAATTATTCTGTTGTGTTTAAGGGTCATCGCCATCAAAGCAACATGGATAAGTGCATGTTCTACACTGTATCTGATTGCAACAGTCAGCACACTTGAGAAGATCAGATATGCCGAAATTTTGTGGCTCGAGAAGCTCATGGCCTTGACTCGATTTCCCCCAGTTTACTGCTTCGCTCATGCGTTTTCCGGATATGGGTCATAAATCCCGAGATGAATCATGTTCCCACTCACAGATTCATTGCCCTCTTGGATACATCACGCGAGCTGTTGTTCATGCATGAGCATGAGTTAGAGAGAGAGAGATATGAGATGGAAGGCGGGAGTGTATGCTGACTGGTATTGAATCTGATATCTTGATTGATCCCAGCTTGAGTCTTGTATAACAAAATATCAAGTGGCAAGTTCTGCTATAAAAAGACTGCACTTGTGAAGTTTTGAACTCCATGGTGAAGTTTTTGAACTCTATGACAAAGTCTGCGGGGATGTATGCTAGGGAATCGAGCTGGGGCAGTGAAGGAATTTTATTGAGAGCTGATTTGACAGTCTCTCCGCATCTGTAAGGTGATGATGATTACGAATTGCAATGGACTGAACTCGCATCGTACCAGGGATTGCATTGCCTGAGACTATATTTGAAGAGTGCCCCTTGAGGGCCAAAGCGGGCTTGAAATCCACATTCACCGATAACCGCATTTGGCCATATGTTGAGCTGACTAAGCGTCCATGGCCTAATAATAGAAGATGCATCCTCTTCCACAAAACTCATGTCCACAAGTCGCGCTTTTGTGCAACTGAGTCCAAAGTCCAGACAACATTCTACAAAGACAACTTGCAGGGAAAGTCAACGTGTTCCTTCGTGGAACTTCACGTAGAAGCCCTCCACGTGCACTGCAATAAATTCAATTTGGTTGGTTCTGCTCCACATGGTCCCAACAACAGATGACCCCCATTCGCATAGAGCCAGCTAAAACAGATATAACTTGCAAATTTCGGACAAATTCTAAAAATAACTGGCTTCCTTCTACATGACAATCTGAACGGGTGGCACGAATTGGAGTCGGTCTTTTTGAGCCAAGCACTGCTCAAGATGTGCTCTTGCATCCGCCAGTCAGCGGGGAGCATTTTGAGTACTTTGGTTGCTTGTTTTGCGCACTATTTGCAAATTTGATCAAGAGTGCGCTCCTCTGTTCACAGCAGCACTCTTGAAGATGATGTTTTCCATGCATCTGAGGTTGCATGTGTTTGGATGAGTTCATCCCTCCGGTCTTTATCGACTTAGTTGAGTCTGAGACTGAGTTGTGGTTCTTAGCGAGGCAGGGACAGACATAATCCTAACCACTGAATGAATCCGCGCATCTCGTGTCTGCTCAAGTTGTGGATGCATCTTAAATTAAACTCGCAAATTTGAGTGGATTCGGCATCTTTCCATCGAGGTTACAACATTTCTTCGAGGTCTTGAAAGGACGCACGAAGCTGTATATGGAGTGCAGACAACGGACATGTCGTTGTGGAATTGACACCAAGTGTTAGTCCCACTTCCTCACGAGGCCATAGACCGTAGACCGTTTGGCGGCTGGACAGGCATCAAACACCTGATGAACGGCGATGGGACTTGTAGTAAGTCCGGTTTTAACAGAAGGGAACAGAAAACTAGTCAAAGACAAGAGCTTGTCGGTGTTCTGCGGGATGGACCTGTGCTCACATTTCATGTGCTTAAGATCTGCCAGGTCTTGGACACTTCAAGTACTGAGTTCAGTCCTGCCCTGGGTCTTGGTTTTCGAGGATACATATACAGATTCATACTGTACTCGTTACTCAATAGATTAGACTTCGAGTATTCTGGACTTAAAACTGGGCATTGGTGGAGAATAATTAGCGAAAAGAGAAATCGCAGCCTGTAATTAAGAATTACAAAAATGGAAAATAAATAAATACAGGCTTCAGTGCAGCTTTCTTACTCCTGCCTACTTTCGTAGTAACTTATCCAGACACTCTTGTCTACCGATTTCCAGCAACAAATTCCACCCATATTTCTACTTCGTGCATAGGTGATAGATCGCCAGAGTCTAGAATCCCAACTGTCTATCGCAGATCCAGGGTCATCCGCATTTGTAACTTGATGAATGTAGGTGCTTATGAATGTCATTGTTAGAGTGGTAGGTAGTACCTAGTTTAGTGAAACTTGGATGGCTGAAAAACACGATTTGGCAGGCCCGAGGTATACAAATCAAAGGAACACTTTCCAGTCAGATTCTCTGGAAGGAAGAAGGCGAGGGACTCGTCCAGTAAGTGAAAAAGCCAGGTGGAAATTACACCCGTCCCCTGCTTCCAATGAAGCGTTCAGGTTTTCCCGAAGTTCTCTATTTTTGGAGCTGCCTCCATTTTCTCCATACCGTTTGTCGCCTTTCAGCATCAAATAGCCGAATACGTTTCTGGAGTTGAATCTTCTGGATGTGTCCCCAATCTAGCCAATGTTCTATCGGCAGCAGAATTGAATCTCCTGGTTTTTGTCTTCTCTTTCTTTTCAGCGCAAGGGCCGAGGCCCACGTTATTTTATTATATGGCGAAGTTCAACTGGGGACGGTTTGCTTCCCCTATGACAGATTCCACAGATTCCGAAGATTCCAGATTCGAAGGTGTCATCTAATCAATAAGGTAATTATTGCTACTGAATCCACTTGACACCTGCTTGTGGACACCCAAAGAAATGTGATCTGGCTTTCCTGTATATCCGGAGCTCGTCCGCGTGTTCCAGAATGCGATAATCTCATGGCTGATAGGAAAATATGATGTGGAATTCTTCTTATGAAGGTTTTACTTTCATTTGGAATGACTATCTTCCTTATGTCGTCATTCACTGTTCGCACTGCTTTGTTGAATGTTCCCTGCCCCGTATGATGTTCAGTCCCTACAATAAGGGCCTGTTCCTTTCAAACAGTCACCTCCATCGCTTTAAATTGTGGTGTCATAATTTCTAAGACCAGAATCCGTTGTCGACAACTTTTGCAATGAAGTGGAGCAAAGATGCGCAGATGGTGGAGGTTCGAATTTCGGTCCTTCCACTTCAACAGCTACAAAACTGGTCCACTTCCCGGCCACTCCGAAGGTTAATCCTACTCTCACGCCCTCTCTCGAGACAACATCCACAAATTTCCCCGGCTCTGATTGCGGGTCCAGTCCGAATTCGCCCGAGTGAATGTAGCTGTCCCCTTCATCCAGTTCCTGCAGAAGCTTCCTCGCGGCCGTGGTGCCCAGGCCCACATCTTTGACCGGCACCTGTTGCTCTAATCTGATGCGCGATTTGGTGGTGCCACACACGGTGATCACTTCAGGAGTCGCCTCGGATCCCAATAGAAGGACGTAGACATTGGTCCGGTTGAATGGGTGGAGTGGTGGAATGCGGTGGGGAGTCTGTATCCTGGTCGGCACTACGAGGGCTGGAAGATGGGCGAACCGGTCCTTCGAAGTGGGCGGCTTCATTTCTCCGTCTGCGAAAGCTGATTCATCGTTCAGGGACATGACATTCGGCTGCAATGGGGCTTCATCAGCCTTCGGAGCTGGTGCAGAGCTCTCTTTGCAACCAGCTGCAGAAAACGAGAGTTTGTACTCCCTGACGTGTAGCCCGAGCGTAACCTCGAGCATCTGCTCCACTTTCACGTCGAGTTCGTCGTTACTTCCGACAAACTGCGCATACCCACCGCCAGCTCTGGCCAGGTACTCGACCAGATCGTGTCATACATCGTCGCCGATCCCGAGAGAGAACACTCTGAAATCAACACCAGCACATTCTCTCCTCATTAAGTTTATTCTGCAGAACTTATTCCTCGTCAGAGCGTAATTCAAGGGACGAAATGTCCTTCTCACAAAATAGTCGTCTCTACTGACTGTGTGCACATACTTCAGTGCGATATCGAGATTCTTCTTGTTGTTAGGCTTGCTCTCAGGCCACAAGAAGCCGAGGGAATGGTCGTAGGAGCAAAGGTTGAATTTCACTCCTGCCGGAAGACTCTTCAAGAACATTGTCAACACATTTCGCAGATGCGGTATCTTAAATCGTCTGTGAGGTATGAGGATAATGTCAGGAAAGATCCGTGGAACGTGGTACTTGGAGACCAGAGAGAGTAAGATCGCCCTTCGGTTGTTGCCGAGTGTTGGATGAGTTTCCACGATGGCTTGAGGCTGCCCGATATCGGCACTGGACACGATCAGGATGAAATCCTTGTCCAGAGCTGCATCCTTCTGAGAGAGAGAGACATAGAGTACCAGCCACATTATACTTCAAACTCACTCCAGACTAGCTTGAATTCACTGTGTGAATGAAACTCTGCAGATGCTTGGCCTGTTTAGACCTCCAGTCTACCCCTAATTGACATGACGGAGACGACGAGAGGATTCATCGCGCTCCAACAAGCAATTGCTGATCTCTCAGATGAAACAGGCACAGTCCCACTAATTACCGTAACGGTGGAGAAACTCTCCGATTCTCTCCAGCGGAAAAAAAAGTGCATTTTGATGTCACAGACTAAATAAGTACTAAGAGAGTATTTCCTTTCCTTACGAGAGAAAGTTGGGGCATCACAAGAGCTTCGTGATAACAGGAGAATATACTGACGACGGCTTTCCGCAAAACTTGTGTAGAAAAACTTGTATTTTATGAGTTTTGTGATTCATATGCATTTCTTTTGTCTTAATTTTGACGTATATACTTTTTTCTTAAATACGTGAAATATTAATTATGAAGATGAAAAAATTTAGGATTCAAATCAATCACTATAAAATAAAGTTGAATGACACCTAATTGAATATATGTTTTTGATGATAACTTTGTGCTAATGATATTGTGATTCATTATGATGTAACTTCATGTATTTTAGTGCAAGTTAAAAATATGGTGATACAAACATTAAAATGAGATAGATGTCATTCAAGAAACAAATTTCAATTGTTGAAAGTAAAATATGTTACTAACTATAAGCACTTAAATTTAAAAAAAAATTGGGAACATGACATTTTTCATCCTTTTATAAGCTATTATTTGTATGGTAGGTTCATTCTTTGAGAAAAATATGAATGTTCATCAAGCAGTCACATTCATGATATAAATATGTGCAACATTATATTTCTCAAGCATCAAGACTCAGATATGTTATACATCAATATACTCTTGATAAGTTGAATAACATTTTATTGATGAACACTATTTTAAAAACCAATCGTTTTCCCAATCGGTTGAGCTGCAATCTCAATCACAATGAATTATGTACAGAGATGTTAGTGAAGTTTATAGATAGATCACATACATTGATCAAACGATTAAAAATGAAAAATTATGTGTTTAGATATTATTAGTCACAAAAAATACCATTTTTTCTCACCTGCATGCAAATCAAGTTTCAACCTTACTCCAATAATCCCACATGTTTTTGTAAACTACTTAACTAAACACATGATATTTCTTGTATTGTTTGCCCCTTATGTCATCTAGAGTTTTTTCTAGTAGAACTATGAAGTTCTTAATGACAAGTTTGTATACTCATATAGAGTGTATTGATATTGTACCATTCCAAAAATACATCATCTGGTAGATTCGTTATGAAGTATAAAAAGTCATTGAAGTTAAAAGTTGTAAGCTTGGAAGTTAAGAATCTATATTTTTTTCCTGCAATTTGGTGGATCATGTGAATAAGTCCTTCCAGTCATCGATCAGAAATTCGTAACTGATATATATTTGTGCATCAGCTCTTTCAGCTTGGTGCGTGGAGTTTATACCTTTCGATTTTCCGACTTCCTTTACGAAGACAATCAATTAAGTAGGGTGTGTACACGTGAATCAAACAAAACAGCTGTAAATATTTCATTTCCCGTGATTATCTACGATAATCGATATCTTCGTTTGGAACTATGATACTTCAATAAAACAATTAAGACTAAAGTGAGATGAAGTGTTTCAAACTTTTTGTTGATGTAGTAGTCATCGTAGCAACATTCTTGTATATCTTTGCGCAGGAGCTTTCGCCAGTTCATCTTGCAATTTGATGACAAACTTATAGACTGAAGACACTATGGTATTTATATTAATTCATATTATAGTTTCTTTTGATTTATGCCAAAACAATTTGGTATTCCATTTTTTTTTTCTTTTGTTCGTTAGATGGAGCTTCGAACATAAACTTTGACAAGCGGGTCCCGAATCACAAATTCGGCAGACTGGAGGGATATTCCATTCTCAGTGAATCTGAAATCCGTTCTCAAGTCTGATTCACTTGAGAACGGATTTCAGATACCAAACGTGTTGATTTCAGTCACTTCAGTTTTATTTATGACATGAATCTGAACAAATATCCGGCACCACTTATGCTGGGACTTCGTTCTATCTAGGTGGTGAACGTTCGTGTGGAATCTCCAGCATCCATGAATCCATGGTAAACCACGAAGACTCCTTGGAATGGAACTCCGTGCGTCCCCGGGTACATCCCGAATGGGTAGACCCGACTCTTATTCTCCACATGTCTTCCAAATGTTTTGAGGAAATGACGATGGCTCCGAAGCTCGATAGATCTTGTGAGGGAGCCCCCTCTTTCACAAGAATCAGTCTGTACAGGTATCAGATACGTTCGAAGAGGATCACCATTTCATAAAATTCATCCGATTCGAAGACGAGAAGTCCCCGAGAATATATACACCACAAAAATGGATTGCGAGTCTTAGACGTCGAGGCCTGTCACGGCCATGGCCGTCTATGACACTCTCACACGTGAACAAGAATCTCCTCGCAGGGCGTTGTGCATGTGTGATCTATTCCTTGTGGACTCGCCGAGCTCTGAATTGATGGGCCCGGCCAATCACCGACCCAGCCATCGACACCTTCATCTCGGTCCATGGCCGACTGCTTTTCTACGTAGAGCAACGGAGCATTTGAAATGTCGGCATCGAGACTTGTGCCAAGGGCCCTCCTTCTCCAACTGATTCTCCGCCTGATGACCCTCTTGTATACACAGCTGCTTGTAGTACACGTAGAACGATGTGTAGGACGAGCTGAAGGTAGCATTGATTTCTGTGGACGCAGATTGAGGAGGTAGCCCGTTCTGTGAACAGCCTTTGAACGTAGGTCGCATCTCTAAATAAGCCACTTCACGTACATCCACAACAATATCCCACACTTGCAAGTCAGCTCTTCATGCCCCATCAGTGCAGCTCCAGTGACAGACCAAATCCATTGAAAAGCTACGGAGTAAACTTCAGTGGAACTCCAGTGATACAGCATGTCCGATTTCCATATCGCAGATGCAACTCACATCAAGGCAGGAATCCGAAGTCTACAAATTGAGGTTTGCTCACGTGTGGGAGGTACTTTTCTCTGGCACTGAAGAACACCCATAGCGGTAGAAATCCAGAAGCAAGCATGCAGAGGCAGTGAGCGAGCTCAACATCAAACTTGCGAGGATCCTTGGGAATTAGTAGCCTCCAGCAGTGCCCATGTGATGCTGTTGTTTTGAACTTGCGCGGTGAAGAGGCGCTTGCCGGTGACGAGGCTTCGAGGGCACGGGGTCATCCAGGAGGACTGGCCGCCCTTGGAATCAACTTGCGCCTCGTAGAAGTGGATGCCGACTTTCTCGAAGCGCGAATTGAAGAGCTCAGCTGTAGCGTTCATGTGGATCCAAGCCTTGCCATTCGCGGTGGAATTCTGATCACCGACTGCGAACAGCTGAGCCATGGGCACATTGCCCTCCGGAGGAATGAACCCCTGGCCCACAATACTGGGAACGAATACGGATTGCGCATCCTCTGCTGTGAAGGAAGTGGTGCAGGTTCCAGTGGCACATGAGATCACCAGAGCCGCCAGCAAGCTGAGGAGTGAAACCTGCGCGGTCCAGATTGCCAGATCTGCGAGTACGTTCGTATACGATGTCGGCAGGTTGTTTCCTGTAAATCGTTGGTGGCAAATCTGTAAACCTTCACGCCAATTTTCCGACCGATTTTAAGATTGTGCTCGAATGGCGCAAAATAGAGAGTGACTAATTTCTTCCGGTTTTTATTGGGAAGTTTGAAGGGCAAATCTGCGACTTTGAGAAGGCACTGCAGCACCCAGAGAGGATCCAACTACTGACACGCTTGGAGCTAGTTTTACTTTTTTCGTCAATATTGAGCCCTGATGGAGGCAGATAGTAGAATAGACTTGGAGAATTTTTCATTTACACTTCCCCACGCCAAGCGTATGAATTGTGATCTCCCTTTAGAATAGATGAACCTAGCATCGCACATGGGGACAATTGAGCTCGAACTGGACAAAAAGTTCCCCGGAACTTACACGACAAATCGACGCATACCTGCAAGATGCAAAGATTCGTAGAAGTCAATCATGTGCAACTCTTCTAATCAATAGTTGGCGGATAGCGCATAGGGTTCTTTATAGGTTATGCACAATTTACCCACGTTGGTAATCTCTTGACTTCTCATTCCTTTGAAGAACTTGAAGAAAGTATTTTTTTTAGAAACTCTTTTGATAATTGTATAAATCCTTTGACAAAACATTTTCTAACCATTGGAATCATATGTAATTTGAAAGTTCTGAATGGTATCTCATTCTTTCCCAACTCCCTTTCCAATACGTGTTTTTATTCTACAGGTGTTAGCACTATTGATTATCTTCTATCCTCGGCCACTAATAGCTCTCTTATTTCGAAATTTCATATTCTAGAACCTCAGCCAAAGTCAAATCATGCAACTCTCTTATTTACTCTCTTGTTATAAAAAACAAGCACTCTCTCTCCATGCCATTATGTTTTAGCTTCTCCCAAATTTCGTTTAGATCCTAGTAAGAAAGAGCATTACATGTTACATTTTCAAAATCTTTTGATTCACACTTCATGGAAGTTTGATCAACATACAGCAAGTGGGCAACTAACAGAGTTGATCAAAGACACTACTTCTAAGTTCTTTTTGCGGCACAAGGATCGAAGAGCTAGGGGTTTCCTTGCAATGGATGGTTTGACTTTGATCATAAGCAAGCAAGGATGAAATCAGTTTACAAGTCTTTGGATTTCCAAAGTCGGCTTATCTTGACCAGGCTTTACAAAGACTTGATGAAGTCTAAAAAACGAGCTTTTTTCAGGACAAAGCAGGAATCCTTGACAAAAGAGTTGATGGAGAATCCCAAATCCTTTTTGAAACGGTTAGCTTTACGGTCTTCTAAACCTACTTTTGATCCCAATAGTTTGATTGACTTTGCTGAAAAGCTTTATTTCTTTCCCAACGTTGCATCAATGTCTTGTTGTGAAGTAACATCAAGCTTATTTTTGAATCAGAGATGATAACTCAAGTCATAAAATTAGCAAATGGTAAATCGGAGGATTTGGATGGTATCTATATTTAATTCTGAAGTGGTGAAAAGATGTTATTGGACCAATACTCACCAAAGCGTTAGAGAATGCTGCTATGTATGGTTTTCCTTCAACTTGGTCTTTACGGAAGATTGTGCCTATTCACAAGTCAGAAAATAAGTACTTGGTGACAAACTATCGCATTATCATGGTGGAAAGTGTTTTTGCCAAGTTGTTTGGCAAATTGGTGGAGTCAAAGTTGAGCACATTGACTGAATCTCATCAAAAGAGAGTGCGGTTTCAAG